ATTCGAATTTTATGTTCGAATTTAATTCGAACAAATTCGAACAAAACATTCGAAATAGAAAGCCACTTTCAACTACTTTTAGCCTCATATCTCCCGCACCCTTATAGCTATCAAGACGCAACCACCCCTATGCACGAATGGAGACTTGGGGCTACTACCACATACAAACACCATTCACGTGCGATGTGTAGTTTTGGCGGAAGAGTGAAATATAGGGACATACATGTCCATTTTTATATATATATATATAGATATAGATATATATAGATAAAAAAGTGTTCAAAATGGTTTATTTTGTACTTATTTTAATATTTTTCATTCAAAACATTTTATAAACATAAAAATTGGCTTTTTTTTAATCAGAAAAAGTCATAGGGAAAGCAGTTAAACGAGAAAAACTTTTCTAAATCATTTATTTTATCGTTAGGTATTGTTAAGCCCCAATAGACCTAGGTCTGTTAGGCAAGGTTATAGGGTCAAGGCACAGACACATAAAATAAAGGACCTTACAATTATGGTGGAATTTAATTAATAAGGTTTAATCATGAATATATACAAACAAAAGAACATTAACCTATTTACACCACAGGAGAGGAACAACAATCCATTAAATTTTCAACACAGGAAACATGTAAACTATACGAGCGAAAGGATAGAAGATATTACTTCTCCTTTAACGAAATACACAATACTCAACGTACCGACAAAAATAATAGTTTTCGGAGGTTCTTCGATGTTTCATGTCTTAATATCTTCTACTTGTTTCGTGAACAACGGGTGGATTCTCTACAATGGAATTGGATTCTGTTCTCTTCATTCCTTAGTTCACTTGTGTCAGTCCCTTTATTCTTACACCACAAAGTCCTTTCTCTTGCAGGAGCCGGAAAGAAGACAAAGTCCCCTCTTTGGACGGGAGTCCCAATATTTATACCTCCCGCCGTTGAGTGTGACGTGAATTACATGTGATGTTAGTTGCTGACCAATCAACAAGAGCGACGGGTCCCACCTGTTCACAATCCGGTATCATAAAATAAAACGGAATTTTACAGTAAAACCCGATATGACACACGACATACATACAAAAATAAACGGAATTAACTATATATAGTGCTTATGAACTACAGTATTATTATAATAATAGACAGATGTCATCATCTCTCGAAATACAATATCTTTCTTATTTCGCTGTTGATAGTCCGACACATGCTCCGCAGCCATCTTGTATTTTCTCGCGCGCGTGGGATTGTGGGATCTCTCTTATGACTGGATCTAGGTTCGAGAACTCTCTCGAGTCGATCGCGATTGAACCTCGTTTTAGTCGAGATTGAAACGGTCGATGGAGGTTGCACTAGGTGAACAGGGTATAAGGCTCTAGTTTAGTAGTGTTACAGAGTATAATAGGAATATTTTAATATATTTTTTAAAAGAAATAAAATCACTGAGAAATGTTACGTGTGTTTAACAACGGGTTCGGAAAACTTTGAAAATGTTAACAACGGGTTCGGCCGAACCTGCGCGAATCCGCTGAATATCACCACTGGTTGCGTCAAAGTTGGTAACATTGGCGTAATGGCATTTTTCGCAATTGTTTCTAATTTTTATAAACTTTTAGATTTAGTGATTGCAAGAAGTGAGACTCTATTACTGTGGAAACTAAACTTGATATTATAAAACTAAGTGTGTTAGGTTAAAAAAAAAACCACATTTCAAACACCTGCTATTAAACAGTAGCGATCAGGTAAATGAGTGTAATGTATTCTATTAAGTACATTGAAGGATCAAACACTAACAATACATGGTTATTCTGTGTAAAAATGCTCTTTTTAGGTTAGTTTTTGACTTGTGAACATTTCAACTTAAGACAAAACCTGTTCAGAAACCTAATCTGTTTGTAAGTAGGGGAATTCCTATATTACTATATTAAAAATATATTTTACACTTCTTCTATAGTCTTATGTAAAATAAAAATGTATAAGAACAATTAAGAAAACATCCCATATTTAGGGTGGAAGGGGAGAAGAAGAAAAGGAAGTATAATTGATAAAACATTTATACTAGTGATTATAAACAATTTTTAAGCATTTAATTAATCAGGATTGCAACTTTGATAGTTATCATTTTTAATATTTCAAAATTAAGCATTTTATATTATTATTTTATATTTATTTGGAATTTATTAATTTCCTGATTTTAAAATGGGATTCCTTAATTCAGTTTGCATTGAATTCTGAAAGATTAGTTTGAAATCATTTATTTATATAGAAATAACTATTCAGATGTAAAAATGCTAACTGTAAAAGTATTATATTGATATAAAAAAAAAAAAACAAAACGACAATTCTTGTCCAAAGCTGTGAATGCTTTTGCACACATTTTTTCATCATTTGGACATTACTAAAATGATATCAATTTTTTTCCATAAGACATAAGTTTTAGTTCATTTATACTGAATTTTAAAAATTAACTAAGTTTTTGGAATTTTTTTATTCATAATATATTAGTTAAAAAATTGAGTTATTTCAGTTGCAATATATACTTGTCTAAATATTTAGCAACTAATAAATTTCATTATTAATATACAGTCGACCCCCTATAACATGGTAGATACGTTCCGTTCTTTATGAAATTGATGTTCTAAGAGACCTTAAATACATGACCCAATCACAGCCCGGCACGTATGCAGTTTCACCTTTCAAACGGACTACGACTGTTTGAAAGGTTTTCTTCCATAAAATTAATCGATTCTAGACTAATTTGACTCAACATTTCCAAATTACGTATAATTTTTTGGGAATAATCTGTATAAACTATGCTATAAACAAAAAATTGTAGGATTACTTACCGAGTGTGCACTGTTTGACGATGCCATTGCTTAAGCTTGTTTTCGTCGTGGAGCTTGTCATTGAATGGCGCTCATGTGCTTCCTGATAAATTATTTTTTTTTTGTGAAAAATTCGCTGAACTTTGGAGACATCATTAATATAAATATAATTTTTATAGATGTTAAATAATAAATGGTTTTTAGTAGGTCC